CCGATCCTGTCGTCTTCTGCAGGTTACTTCAAAGATATGAGTAAGGGCTCCAGTTTCATACTTAAAAAGAAGGAGAGAAAATATTCTGACCTCTTATTACAACAAGTTTAAAATTGTACAAATGGAGAAGAATTTTTCTCTATCCCGGTGGGGGAATATTATCTCTGGGTCTGTCTGACCGACGAATTTCACCACAGCAGCCCAGGACATCCTTCTCTTTCTTTTCCAGTCATTGCCCTCATATTGCACTACTATTGGAAAGCAAATTCATGATAAACACAAGAACTAAAGTATTATTTCAGCCTACACACTTTGGTGATGCCGAAATGTCAGATGACAAGATGCTATCAATCTGAATTATACTGTCAATCTAAACGAAATCCATTAGTATATCTTGAGCAAAACCAGCATGCAGTTAGGAAATCTCGGCTGTCCTCTCTAAGACAAAATGAACTCCGCTTAGAAACAACCAAATTTCGGCTTTATGACCCAGTGCGGTGCAACACAATCCCTTCGTAGTAGCAGTTGTCTCACAGAGAGCCGGCCGAGAGCTTTTTTGTAGCGCAGTGAACTGGGATTCTTCAATAACATCAACAAATACCTTATTATAGTATTAACAGTTATAACTATTTTTATACTGAAAGTGCGGTCGTCAAATGTCGAAATTAAATGAAAAGCGGGCAGAGACAGTGAAAGCTAAGAGCAATAAAACATAAAAAACGAATAGGCTTCTAATAAACCCCAAAGAAAAACACATAACACTGGTGTAAACAGTTTTCATATTATGAATCAGATTCTGTGTTGCCGGCCATGTCAGTAAAGTCGAAGGAAGCACAAGATTTAATATTCTGTCATAGTAATGCTAAACAAAAGAAAAGTTCATCCAATTTCCATGTCAAACTGTATGAGAACTCAAAATCGGGCACTGCCTTAAAATGCATCCATTAATCAAAATCCAATATTTGAAAACGCGTAATTTCCATTCGGAGCAGCCTCTGAAATCAAAATCCGCCCCGTGAGCCGCTGCCGGGTAAGTAGCAGGTTGATCTCCCAGGGTCCCGCTCGGTGCCGGCGCTGTGCGGGACGGGACAGTCCCGCACCTGGTACTCCCGAGCAGTTTGTCTTTCCAGAGAAAGCACCTTTCCCTTCCTCACCAAATCTCTTTGCTTTTGAAGGAATAGGAATTACAAGGCGGGACAGAGCATGTTAATTTGATAGAGCTACCACTCAGCCTCATTTTTTCACCCTCTCCGACTCCCCGAATAGGAAAATATTTGGGTTTCTGACTCCCGGGGGTTGATTTCGTTGCTGTGGCATCGAAGACAGTTTCACTGTTGCCTAAACCAGGACAGCGGCACTCCCAGAGCCTCTCCGCAGCCCCATCTGGAATGCCACTGTTGGGGGGGATGCCGGACACATGTCCGGCGGGGAGAGACGGCGGCGAGCGCAGCCAGCCCTCCTGGGGCAGCGCGGACCCCCGCCCGCCAAGGGCACCCACCGCCCGCCGCCGGGACGGGACGGCCCCGCCGCTCTCCGCGGCTTAGCCGGAAAGTGTCCGGGTGAATCTCCTCCCACATGGCTGTGCCCACGAGTGGCACTTCCCACGCACCATTCTGCTGCGCTGAGACCTTAACTTTTTTGTCTTTTTTTTTCCTCAATGCTTTCTTTCTTTCTTTTCTTTTCTTTCTTTCTTTCTTCCTTTCTTCCTTTCTTTTTTCCCTTTCTTTTCTTTCTTTCTTCTTTCCTTTCTTCCTTTTTTCTTTCCTTTTTTCTTCCTTT